GAGTGATTCCAAATACAGAAAAAACTGATATTAGTAATTATCTTCCACAAACTTTACAAGCTTTTCCATCGAAAAATCCTGATTTATTTACAAGAATAAAAAAATATTTTCTTTTTTCTCGACCTGTTGTTATAACAATACGAAAAAATATGGCATCACTTTGGGATGATCATGGAGAATTTTCTTCTGGATCATTGGCATCAATGATGAGTATTCATACATCAAAAGATCCACATCCATATAATATTGTCATAACAGGGAATCATTTAATAGGTATGCATCATAATCCCATTTTAAATTCGAAATTAGTTGATTGGTTATTATCAAAACATGTACTTATATCTGGTTATGATGATGATGTACGTTTTGCTGGAGAAGCTTGGATGGTACATGAACAAGATGGGGTAGCTTTACATTTATCTAATAATTCAGGAACTTATCGTCCAAATGAAGAACAACTTATTAAAGCTGCGCAATTTGTATCGGATGCTTTTCCAGGATTAAAAATTGAAACTCATCAAAGTTCTGATCAAATTCAATTACCTTCTCAGATGATTAATGAACAAGAAAAGAATTCATTTTTCACGCTGAAAAATATCTTTATCATATTCTTAGCATTTATCGTTTGGTTATGTATTTTTAAGTTCTCTCATCATGATTAAAAATTTATCTTAATAAATTCTTATTGCTTATCAATATTCTTATCATATTTTATACCTTATTTAACATATTTTAATACTAATTTCCAATTTAAATGAAAAAAAAAACAAATATTTATTTTAATTTTATAATGATCAATAAAAATGATTTATACTTGTTCTCCTATTCATGACCATTGTTACAGCAGTAGTTAAAAGGTTTTCTTTACTGTAGGACGAAAAATGCCATAGCGTGATTACTAAGACTTTTTAATTCGACTTCGCTTCACCTGAGTATTGAGTTTTTGCTTTGTAAAATTATTCCGTCCGTATGAAGGTATTTGCTCAAATATATCGTGCTACCAATATATCGTCTTTCAAAGAAAAACAACGAAGAGAGAGAGAGCATTCGTGCCTATGAAATATTATTTGACATCAGCCCATGGCTGATGTTACAAAAAGTAAAAAGGCATTGAAACATCATTGATGTCTCTATTCATGATTTTTCAAATTATTGAGCATTTGACTCTTTCTTGATAAACAAAAAAAAATCCCAGTAGACCTCTTTTTCGTAAATAAAATACAAATCAATCGATCCGATGATCTTTCTTTCTTGTATTCCCGATGGAGTTAATTTTGATAAACTGGCGATAGAAAATGAAGATTGGGTTTGAACAGATCGAATAATGTTGTGCATATGGTTACGTAAGAGAGAAAGTATGCAACAATCAACGTATGAATGGTAGCACTTGGTTAAATATCAAAGGAGAAAAGCTTTACGTGGTAGACAAGATCTCACGAGAGAATGTCCCTAAGTGATAAATCGCTTTTGAGTTGAGTCTATGTGTATCATGCAGGTCTCAATGAACTATGAATACTTTAAAAACGTTTGAACTGTTAGCTTTGTTGCTGTCGAGATACTGCATTTTTACAATATATTTTAGCACCATGCCGTGATGCCTCTCAGGAACACCAGGAAACCTGAGTTTCGAACTTCAACTTGAAACTATGCATAGAGGTAAGTCTTAATGAGAATAGTTTATTATAAAAGTTTGAGATTTGTTGATTGCTCTGATTCTGAAATAAGAACATCGGAATCTGTTGATGTGTGTATGAGCGTTTTAAAAAAAAACATGCTTTAACTATAGCTCTATTTTAGGATAGGAATAACAAAAGATCTGAAACATTCACAATAACCTACTCACATTAAGATCTGCTTCTGTGCCAAGTTTCTAGTTGAAATTCGACACTCAGTTTCGTGGTGTTCTTGTAGGGGACTACGACATTGTGCTCAACAATACCGTAAAAATGTGCAATATCCCGACAATAATAAGCTTACAGCCCAAACTCTTTTTCCTTCGTCAGTGTGAATGTTTCTTTTTCTTTTCTATTTGCCTTTCGTTAAAGCTAACTAATCATATCAAAAATTTCATTGATTTTCGAACTCGAACAAGTTAACTACTCAGATGTTTCGGCTCATCACTATGCGCGCGTGCAAGGTTTCGTTTCTTTTTATTTCTTTTCTCATAGTCACATTAACCTTCAGTGAGCAGAGTTTTCCTCCTTTCTGTTCTCTTATTTGTTACAAGCATATGGAAAAATATGTATATTTTGATCCAACTATCATACCTGTTCGTTGTTTTTTGTTTTTATTCTTGCCATTTCTTCTTATTCATTTTTATACATAAGCTACTAAATGGCGACTTTGAATCTACAACTGACTGATTTATCTTCTGAAATTTTAGTTCGTATTTTCTGTTACATTGATTCTATAAAAAAACTTCTACTCGTTTCATGTACTTGTCGAAGATGGAGATCGATTATTTTAGATGCGTGGTTTCAGCAACATCGATTTCGTGAAATCACTCGACGATATCTTATTGGTCACTGGAAAATTCGAGCATGCAAACAATCTTGGTCATGACTCGTCCGACATTGTGAAGGATCGTTATACATTCACAGATCAAGTACGACAAGACACTTGTTTTCTTGGATCATGTGCTAGCTTTGATGATCGATCATCAATTGATATTCCCGTACATGATATTTCTGCTTATCAAACCGATCATTTTTGTGTTTCAGTCTGGCTGCGTACTAGTCGTGTAGCATATGATCATCGTACCGCAATAGGAGCATGGAAAGCTGATAATAATCACTGGCTTCATCTGGAACACAGCAACTATTATATAGCAGAGAATCAAGTTATTATTTCGCCAGCTCTTGTTCAGTTTGAATGTGCAGGTGAGCATTTAGAAAGAAATAAATGGTTTCACTTGGTGGCACTAGTCTTTCATTTCAAGCAAGCACTTTAGAGTACAGTCGATATGAGCGAATATTCGGACACTTTAACTATTTTCAAAAGACATTTAGTCACTGACGAGATGATTAAAAATTGGAAAGACGAAAAAATGCAACTATCTCATACTTTACATATCGGACCCAAATCGCTCGGACTAAATTTTTGGTTAGGTGAAGTCGGAGATGTCAGCATATGGAATCACCATCTCGAACCCCATGAGATTGAAGCTATCTACGACCAAAAAGTTATTGTTGACAAAATCAATATTGGTGAACATGTATTAAATAAATGCTCGATTGTCGCTCAACCATCAAAAAGTCCTTCTAATCTCAAATAACTTTGCATATATCCAACTGTTCATTCTTGAAATCGCTCCAGCTTTTTGACCGTCATTTATGAAAGCAGAACTCGTCATAATAATCTTCTAATAAAAAAAAAGCTTTTTCAGGTGGCATTTCGAATTCTGTTGATTTCTCGATACTAAAAATTCAACTATCATGCTCATTCTCATCCTCATTCAATACTATAGCTCATACCTATAAAAAGAGAAATTGTCATGTGTCATTCGAAAAGAAAATAAATATTAGGAACTTGCTGAAACTGTTGAATCATATCGGATACATCCAAATCTTTCAGTTGAAAAAACATGAAAACTAAAAGATTCGACGGTCAAGATCCGCTTGCATCGAGGTCGGAGCCTGATTTTAGAATCGAATTACTCCAGAAAAAATTCTGTCGATATCATTCAAATCTCATAACTGTATCCAATCGAATTCACGGGAATCTTCCTTTTTACCACAAACAAACCTGCTATCGGACACCGATCAAATTCAACAGATCTCTATCGAAACCTCGAAGAATTCAGTCACTATCGATCACAATCACGTCGCAGAAAATGGATTAAATTCAAACGCGCCTATAAGTTTCTGATAGAATCCTCATTCCAGCTTACTCTCAGTCCAGAAAGGAGAGATTAATAGTCAAATAATTTCTATATTACCAAAATGTTTGAACTTTTATTATATACATCAGAAGAAACAAATAGATTCATATTTAGGTCAAATAGATTGAATATCAGATCAAATGTATCAAGAACAAAAACTCTAGTCTGATGATGACACTGATATAGTTGTCAAAATATCACTTAAATAAATTCTAGTATTATTGAAGAACATTTAATAAATACATTTAACTGCTGTTCTTTTCTAAGTAATATTAGAAAATTTCTTTTTACATTTCTCAACACAGTTTTATGCCGACAAAAAAGATGAGATAAGAATTGTGTGTCTTTATGATTTCTTTTGTTCGAAGAAGAAAACTGTAAGTTGGAAAAATATATCTTGCTAGACACAACAATTCTATATAAGTTCTTGCTTCTTCTACAAATAACATGTTATAGGACTGATACGATTTCAATAAAGACTTTCTTTCATTTGTGAAAGCCTTTGTTCACCACTGCCCGTTATAGCCGTGACCGAGAACATCCGTCGGATACACGTATTGGTTATTCTTTTCTCTCTATCTATGCCCTTTTGACCTTATTCTGACTTCAATTCTTCGTTCGTGCTGCATATATTCTTCATTATACGTATTCGTTCGTAGCATAAATCATAGGTAAGTTAGTTGCTCTATCACACATTCATTCTCTTTTCCAAAACAAAATATCTTGAGAGTAACACGAAATTGCACTCTGAACGTATCGATACTATCTAGTTCGGTAAGTCTTTATAATGTATGAACATGGTCATCAGTGAAGTGCTTCTTAATTTTTCTCAGCTAATGAATGGTGATTTTTGGAGCAGAGAGTGTGCTGAAAAACCATCAGATAGAATAGATCTACTTAGTATAAGTTTATCAACCAAATAGCAAAACGAAAAATGTTTAATACTACTGCTAGACGGAGTGGAGTTTCGTTTTTCTCAAACTCTTTCCTATTCGTATTCAGTGCATCTTAGAAAGAAGATTCATGTGAATCTACAACGATTTTTTTTTCTAGAAAGTTATGCAATATTAAAAAGGAAAACAGAATCGAGTAAACATTAAAGTTACATCACAATACTGATATGGGTGGCTTAAAAATTGTTGATATGAGCAATGGTGCAAATTTACAAAGACAGAATTGGGGAACAAATGCTCCAGCTTGGTGGAGAGCAAACCATGGTTTATGTTTGGAAAGCGTGTGTTATAATGCAACATGTGTAGCTTACGGTCAAGCTGTTATAATGTCAATTGGTTACGGAATATTTGATCTCGGCACTCAACAGATCACTACTCGTGTACCGGCTTCTCTTTTTTCAGCTGCTTCTAATACAACAACAACACCAAAATGTCCAATATGTTCGCAATATGTTGAACCAAACACTGTTGCTTTTAATAATTGCTGGTGGGAATTTTCAGGTGTTAACGAATATAATCAATCGTGTTCAAGTGATTGGCAGCATGCAGATGACGCATATCATCGTTTTAATGATAATCCAAATGCAAAGGTCATATGGATTCGCTTAGTATTGGAAGTTGTTAAAGATAAACCAACTTAAGTTGATCAATTATTTCCATCAAAACATTATAATTACAAAGTTTATAAAAAAAAACTATTTGTCTCTTTTAATGTTATCATAGTGTACTAAGGAATTGTGTCGTAAATAAAAGTGGAATTACGTTACTCATTAGTAAAGAGTCATCGTTAGGTTGTCATATACTCTATTGTCCAGTTGAAAATCAAGGAATATGAGACTTTTTCATAAGTCCACAAGAGATTAAAGCTATTCCAGTCTAATAAATTATATAATTTACTCGTTTTAGTACCTTTACTTCGTTTACTCACTTGACTCTTTTACACAAAAAAAAAATGTTCGTCTCATAAGAGTTCGTAAAATTGTTCTTTCTATCGATCGAGATATTGTTGACAGAGAATTCTAAGAAAATTATGAATAATATGAAATTAATTCTCTATTTTCAAAAAATAAGTTTCAATCTAATAATCTTTCTTGCAAAATCGTATTTCTTCAATTTCTTTGTAGACAAAGTTTTTATTATTTTTCATCCACTCTGTAAAACTCAGGTCATTCAATCTGACTCTTAGATCATATCAAATCCGCTCAGAATCTTCCATCGGGTGGGTGTAGATGTGGGTGATGATGCTCTTTTCACTCACACCCATACTCTCAAGCCCTATCAAACCCTATGAAAATTGATCTAATTGATCATCGGATTAATAAATGAATGTAGCTGATATCATCTTCAGTCGAATATGGTATACATATGAGAGTCATGAACTATTTCTAGCGATCTGGGTGCAGTCCAAACAAGTGCAACAGGACTAATTCTACTAGTAATCACTTTTGAACATCTTGTATGAGAGTTTTATATGGAAGAAATTGTGAATTTCTCGACAGAGCCGATTTGATCGCTTATCAACGCTCCCTCCTTTTACAAAATACTTATCATTGACTCTGTTATTGAAATAAATCTAGAAAACAGATTTATGTGTTAGCCATAAATACTTTCCATTAATCAATATAGTCATTGAAGTAAATCTTTACGCAGTACCATGATCGAACATTGAATCATAATGCGGCATACCATATACGGCTACCGTTTTCTAGCCGAAAATTACTGTAATTTAGCCGTAGATGACCGTTTACATGCCATATTGTTCGACCCAGCATGTAGCATGAATTTCACTCTGGCAATGCATATGCTACCTTTCCTTTTTCTGCTTTGTTCTATGTTGTATTGATATGTGATATTAGATACTTCAACTCATGTTGTGTATTCATTTATAATAGCACATTAATACTTCTTCTCATAGTATTACACTAAAACGTGATGTGAATGTATCCTCAGGTCGGTTTTTTTAATTGATCGAACTGTATTAATTAGCGTTTTTCTCCTAATCTAGTGGTTAGAATCGATAAAGTAACGCTTGGAATCGTCTTCTGAGCGACTCCTGATCTAAGATATCGTACGTATACTTTTTTTCTCTCGAACGAAGAGAAAATTTTAACAAGAAAGTAAATCAGAAAATAAAAGAAGAGTTGATATTTTAAAATATTGTTCTTGTTCTTCTTTTAAACCTACAGCATACGTTAAAAATCGATTCATATTTGTTCAAAAATTCTATTATTCGCTCTCATCGTAATGTTATCAACATCCTCATCAAATAATAATGATAATGATTCAAATATTGTTGATTTACTGTATCATTTATGTAAAGAAAATAAAATAGAACAAGTTCGAAATATTCTACCATGTATTGGTAATATAAATATTATAAATAAAATTCAAAATTCAACTACTGGCAATCCAGAAGATCAAATTATTCGTCAACAAATTGAAACTATCGAAGCATATTTTAAAGAAGCTATAGAAAAACTAGATTATTTAACATATTTTATAAAAGCTTACACATTAACAAATTAAATAAACATTTGGCTTTATATATATTACAATACTTCGATAAAACAAAAGACTTTTCATCAAATTATCGTCTTATCAGTTGTCTAGTTCATATTGTTACACTCTTAATTTATCATCCAAATTTACTTCAATATCGATATCAAGATATATGTTATCGTGGTATGAGAATAACACAAAATGATTTAGATCAATATCTCTCAAATCAACATCTATTGTTCGTCAGGTGGCTGAAATATACTTCGAAAGATCATTGTGCATTACAATATACATGTTTATGTCAATATTTAATAAAACAAAATTCAACAGCTATCGATATACAAAATTTATCAACGAAATCGGATGAAAAAGAAATCTTAATGCTTTCGTTTATTGTTTTTAAAGTAATAGCAATTAAACGAAATTATCTTGATGATCCAACAGCATCAATTTCAATTGAAATTGAATTAGAAGAATGTGAAGGTCCAAATGATAATCAAAATGAAGCAGAAAGTAAGATGCTTTTCTTCATGTATGTCGAAAAAAATGAACTCTTTCCATTCTATTTGTCAAAAACTTTCAGCTAGTGAAACATCGAGAACATCATCATTTTCATCATCTACTGATGATATAAAAGATGTTGAAGAGTATTAAAAATTTAAACAACGAAAATGTCGTCTTTATGTCACCACTGGATTTTTGATGTTCGCTATTTCTTTGACTTTAACTTTTACATTCATTTTTATTTTTGTTATTAAAAAGAAACAACTACCACAGAAAACGATAATGAGGGCAACAATTCGTTACCACTAGGTAAAACTGAGATACCAAAAAAAAAGCTTGCCAGAAAAGGTTCTAACAAGTTAAAATACGAAATCTCTTCCAATTGCACTAAAATATGTGAATTTTGGCTTTTAAACATATTAATTAAAATTCACTCTTTCCCTCTTGACAATTAGATCCACTAAGTTTGATTTAGGGTTGTCCAGTTAAACCACTAATTCTATATTTCATAGACTTCAAGGAAGCGTATATAGACGATTTCTCAGTTAATAGATTAATAAAACTTAATAGATTTAGAGTAAACTATTCTTTGCAAAAAAATACTAAAGATTCTTTTCTTTGTTGAACAAGTACAAAATAGACATATTTGATGTTCACTTCTTATAGATTGCCCCAATATATTAAAACAATTTAGGTGAAATGCACGTCCATATATAAGTAGTAATAGTTTAACATTACCGGTTATACATATTGTTGTATACACCAAATAGAACATGTGAATTCGTTTATGAATCAACAAGATTGTATTACACAAATAAAAGGAATTCAAGATTATCAAATGAATATACAATATTGGTCTGATATTGGTTTAAATTTTTTTCTGTGTAATGAAAATGATGATCAAAAACAAATTTATCAAGGTAGAGGATGGAAAAATATTGGTGCATATTGTCTTGGTTATAATTTTAATTTATTGGATAAGAATAGATTTCTCTTTTAACTTTCTAGAGCAACGGAGCTTAGGTTTTTTATTCTGGAGGAATTTTTTTGAGTGTAGCATGGTTCGAAGTAATTAAAATCTTCTATGAATTTTAATGTGTATGATTAAAAGAGCAAGTCCATGAAAAAAAACAATAAAAATTCGAAGGTTCAATATTTTTAAAAACGACTTGATTCGAAATCCATACAACTGTAACTTCGACTACGTGTCTTAAGTACATACGTTCATGCGGCATCTGTGGCCAGGTGTCAGTGTTATGTTAAAATATAAATATAAGTAAATCATATAGTTCTTATGAATACAGATGAAATGAAGAAAGTAAGAATATCTTACTAGAAATATGTGATAATGAGAATTGTATACCTGCGACATATGCCATGATAATTTTTACTAGTCAGAAAATTTTTTCTTACTGCAAAAACCTAACTGAAGCCATAGCATAAAGAAATTGAGAGAAAAAACGCTAGATTTTTCTTTTGGTAACTTGTGTTCACTGTTGGAAACTAAGAGGTAGTCCATAAAGGATTATAGAATTACTTTATATATTCAAATGTTCTCCTCTTTCTTGCATTCAACATCAGATCTTGTTAATCACAAAACCCGACATCAAATTACCTACAAATCAATATGTCGTTTGATTTGTAGCTAAAGTAAGGACATCCATACATCTTGATTCTACTTTATTATCAATCAAAATGAAAATAACTCACTAATATTGACAATAGAAAAACTTATTTTCTTTTTTTTCTTATATTGGTTATATAAAGAATAGATAAGAGTTAGTTCTCATTTGTCAATCATTATTATTCTAGTTCATACCATAAAAAAATGCCTCTTACGACAAAAAAAATTCACATTTATTGACTAAAATTACCAGAGAAGTCGAGAGTTTCGATCATATTTGATGGATGATGTATCATCTTTTTCTGGTATAAGATATGGAAATTTGTATTTATTTGAGTATAAAACAATTTATTTCATAGAAAAGTGTCTTTATGCGAGTTTTATCTGTTTTTTTTTATTTAACATTTTAAGACAATCTACGAAAAAAGTTTAATCATACTGTCTTTGCACACCTTCGAGTTGATCCTTTCGTCTCACAGCAAATGAAAGATATGATTGCTAAAAATATATAAGATATGCATTTGTAGTTCAATTCAAGAGTTTTTTTTTCATAAAAACCTACTTTAGAAGCGTTAATAAGTTCATCAGCAAGACATTCACTAATTGTTTTTATTGATTTGAATGATGAATTTCGAGCACCTATAATAAATATCATTCAAGTATAAAATGAACGTGATCGTCTTGTGATTTCTTTTTAATAATCGAGATTTCATTTAATGTTTATTCTATTAATTAAAATTTGCAAATCTTTTCATAAAACTTAATATATACATAATTCATAGAAATATTTGTGTTCTTTGAAAAACTGTTTGATTATAAAAGCTTTTTCTAAATACGAATAAAGAATAAAATGATAAAGCATACCTGTGCAAAGCGAAGAGACTGGTTGATTGATTCTTTGTAAAGGTGATGTATCTATAGTCTCTCCTCTGTTAAGACCAAAACGATCCATACGTATTAAATTTTGACGTGCTCCACTATTGATAACTGCATCGATAAGTATTTGAACTGGATTCTATATTTTAAAAATAAATGTAAAACAACATCACTTTTCTCTTATTCTATATTAACTTCTCCTGTTCGTTGGTAAATTATATAAAAAGCGTCTGCAACGACACGCATAGTCATTATCTTTTTGGCGCTATTTCGTCCATGAAACATTAGAACACATACTAAACGTTCGACAATTGGTCAAGTAGCTTGATGAAATTATTTTCCATGAGAATGAGCATTTGCATGTGGAACAAATATTTTCTTTTTGTTATCAACAATGGTGTCTACAATAAGTTCAAAACAAACTTCGAGTGACATGTCAGAAATACGACTATTGTCAAGATTCCATTTGTCAAATAAGAAAATATTACTTCTCATCGTCTTCTTAAAAAAATTCTCATTCAAATTTGCATCTGTCATTATAAAAATGAAATATCTAAAGTAAATAGAATGGCAAACTTTAGTAATTATATAGATATGCGCTAAAAAAAATCTAATAAGATTAATACATAAAGAGTACTACTTAATAATCTTCGATATTGAAACGATATTAGTGATTTTTCTAAATACCTTTTTCAATAGTTTTAACAGTTCGACTGACCAAAATTAATAAACATGTCTTGCAGAATAAACGAACTACGAATAACTTTGTTGTCAACATATATATCTTTTTGAAATTCAAAGAATCATATTTTTGATCTTGATCAAAAATCAAAATAAACTATACTCACCTGTCGAGAAGGAGTGCAAAATCTTTAAATAATGAAAATATTATAGTTGTTTTAAAAGAAGTAATTGAGGCGATAACCTGTAATTACTAAAATATATCAAGTATTGCACAATCACCAGAACAAAAAATGACTCACAATGAACAATGATAGTGACTTATTTTCATTTTTTAAATTAAATACCAATAAATAGATCGATAAATAATATCAAGATAATTAAAAATACGTTTGCATGTAAACTTGTCTGCTTGTATAAGGTAAGGATATAGGTATGGGTGTGGGTGTAAATGTGGACGTGGTTGTTGGTCTACTCTGCTTTTACACCCACACCCACACAAACATGTTTTAGCAGCTCTATCTCACCCTCATCCGCACAGAAAACAAGCAATTCGTTGTGTAAAAATACAAAGAACATATTGTCTGTGATTTGGAGGACAACAAAAGGATTTTATTTCTTTTGTAACACAAACGCGCAACTACGCAGAGAAAGAGAGCTTTGATCATAGTTTTTCAATGAGCGGGCCACTTTATTCAGGTATCTTGGATATTAATGAAATTCTGTCACACATTTACACACACCGCTGATATTATAAGGATTTTCGAGCACTTCTGAAGATATATGTGAGCTCTCTAGTGTCCAAGATCATTTTCACTTGGTGATCGAAGATTGGAGACTTCATCGACTTCTTCATCACTCGATTCTTCAGCTGTGCGTAACCATTCGATGAATTCCTTGGCATACTTTCGAATATCTTCAGATATTGCTTTATCAACGAGTCGTTTCGATGCCTAAACAATAATCATCAATATTAGTAAATAGAAAATCAATCATTCTAATTAGTTTTACCTTTTTATACCATTCATAAAAAACTTCTTCTACAATGATGTCTTCTTCATAAAGTTTAAGAAGAATTTTTGACATTCCTTTTGTGTTGAATAATTTGGCTCGTATTTCATTGTTCGTACCGATGATTGTTTCTAGTCCATGCAACAGATATTTTTGTCCTTTGATATTCTTTGCGCACAGCTATTGAATAGATCAGTTAAATTATTAAAAAAAACAGGCGACGCAATAAAAATGAAAACATACTTTCTGAAGCAGCATTTTATATACTTCAATTTCTTTGACAATTTGATCTGTAAATAAATATTCTGGAACAAAGAATGGGACTTTTTCGAGTATTTTCAATCGCTCAGCTTCAATGATCAATTCTTGAATTGAAAGAGGATCATTTAATTGATTGGCCAATTTTTTTTTCTAGAGACACAATAAGCAAAATATTCATTTTAATGAATTCAATAGTGAACTAACTTTCAATAAAGATATGAATTGTTCACAATATTCGTGAACCAGATTATCGAAATCTTCTGATTGAATCATACTTTTGACATGAATGTCCAAATTAGTGATATTTGATGCTAAGTCATCACCCCAATCTTCATTCCCATCATCATCATCATTGGCATTATTCTAGACAATTGAAATGGAATGCTACACATTTGAGTTCAATCGACTTACTGTTGCTCCTTGTTCAGTTGGAATGCTCTCTTGTGAATTATGACCCTCATTATTTTCGTTTTCTTGCAAACAATTTTTTGAAATAAACGTCGTTAACTTATGAGAATCCATGCTAATTGCATGTGTATTACCACAAGCATCGCATCGTTGACAAATTTTGTTACCATTTTTCTTGTGAAAGCTCTATAACATTAAATATAGAATTGATTCTAATACGAATTCTTTTCTCCTCTACTAAAAAGGATATTAGTGATAAGATGCTAGTACCCTGACGATCAATGTCTGAATATAATTTTTTTTGGC